ACATCTCCAGACTCGATCTAAGCATTTCTCACTTCAAATCGTGTTCATTACTGCTGCATGCGAACATCAACACGGTGGGGCATGTCAGTAATCAGATAGTTTAAGTTTTATTCTCATGGTAATTCCTTCTTTTGCCAGTGGGTAGCACAGCGAGCAGCATCAGATCAGAGTGTGGGGATTAACATGATTGGAAATGCTATTCTATCCCCACATGTGAAGGACTCTCCATATAAGATAACAGGCCCCAAACAGCAAAGGATACTCCGTTCTGCTTCAAAGGCTCCCAATATAAAACAAAAGCGACAGCAGCCTTCTAAAAAAGTGCTCATTACGAGAAAAACCTTACATTCGAGTCGGGCTGTCTGTCTGCGGAGGAGAGATTTTCTGGATGGAGGGCTATTGAGTGGTGAGCGCGATGGCAAACTGATTTCACTCTCCTCTTATCATAGCAGACAAAGAAATTAAATATTGATTCCTGGAGCAGAATCACCCATTCTCTCTCCCCTCGGCCTGCACCTCCGCTGTTTCGGCTCCAGAGGTGGAAGGCTGCGGGGCTCTGACAGGCCCTGGAGTTAACACGGCGTATCTGAAGAAGATGGAGGAGATAGGGGCTGCGGATCTGACACTGGTTTGACCAAGATAGGTTTTTTATGTCGATTGCCAGGTTCAAATTCTATTCTAATTTTATAATGGGATAAAGGTTTTCATCTATCTCCTTTACAAACTTAAAGGTGCACTCTGTAATTTGTCCAGTGGAGGGTCCGTCAATTGCTTTTCTACGAAGAGATGTTATTGCTTTGTCTGGAATTTTTCACCTTTCTATCTTGATGGAGACCAAACCAGGCCAAGTTACAGGTCAGATCTGTGGAGCGGCGACCCCGCTCACAGTCAGAATGTCTGTTTTGCTAACTGTAAAACCACCTATAATTGAATAAATGTACGATAGAGCTGTTTAAACATTAGGCAGAGCAATGATATCGCCATAGAAAGAAGCAGGTGACACAGTGCAACTTTAAGATGTTTGATTGTTTGTTTGTTTTATTCGGGCATTTTGCAGCACTACAAAACAAAAAACTAAACAAAACGTAGACTACAACCCCGTGGATTATGACTGAAAGGGTTTAGGTTGAAGAAAAAAGTACTTCTAAAGCCAAACTCTTTTAAACAATGACAGAATTTCACGAAAGAAAGACATTTACAATTTCACTTACGACTATTAGCTTTCGAAACATATTGCTTTATACTTTTTTTAAGGCTTCTACAGTGTTAGACTTTTTAAAAATCATCACTCAGATCTCAGGTTGTTCCATGCCTCTAACAGAAATACAATCGCTTTTTCTTTTTTTTTTTTTTTTTTTTTAGTTATATTAATTTTTTAAAGATGCCAGTTTTGTTTTGGTTTATGGTCGTACAAACTAATAATAATAATAATGATAAAGAAGGTACAAAATGTATCGTTTATGATCAAAATTAAAGGTAATGTTCAAGAAAAGCATGTGTTTATTTAATGATAGTTAAAGATAATGTATCTAGTCTTCTAGGTATTTCTGTAAGAATTGATTTTTATATTGTTTTTTGAAGTGCACCAAGTTAGTACAAGCTTTGATATGGTCATCTAAACTCTTCCATAGGTTTACTCCACGTTTGGTAACACACATGTATCTCAATGGAGATATTACAGGTGAGATTTTTGGAGACGCAGCCAGATTCACAGTAAGAATGAATGTGTTTTAAGATATTTTTGAGCAATAAATAACACCTGTAGTTGAATAAATGCAAGAAAGATTTGTTTATTGCCATCCTGTGAATGATTTAAAGCATTAACATCTCTATGGAGACAAAAAAAATTGTGGACCCTCTTTAGAAAAAGTTACACAGTGCATCTTTAAAGAGATCATATTAGGGAGGGGGAATTCTGCAAATCAACTTTTTTTTTGGAGTTTTATACCATGTTGCAAAAAATGCCATAGAATCGTGCATTTCTACTGTTACCGGAGTCACGACCTCTTCACAGATCTGACCTGTAACATGGCCTGATGATGTCTCCATGGAGATAAACGTTTTTATTACGATCGTGTAGTGGAACATTACAGCCCAGTGCAGCAAGTGGTGGACCCCCTACCAGTAAAGTCACACAACACCTTTAAATAAGCAGATTTTTTACGTCTTTGTTGTTTCTTAGTTAAATAAAAGTGAAAAAAGGCATAGCACAGATGGCCGATGTCCCAAAGCTTGTTTTATTTTAAAATAATGTTTCAGCCTTTGTCAGATAATTTTTCTTGCTTTGGAGTGCAATATACAAAGCCGAAACATTATTTAAAAATGTAAAAAAGCTTTGGGACGTCGGCCATCTGAGTGTGCTATGCATTTTCTCACTTTTATTTTACTGTTTCTTGCATTTGCACCTCTACACGAACCTTGGTGTGCCTTTCCTGCTGTTTCTAAGTTCTCGTAAAAACCATAAAAAACAAAAACATAGCGGTTCTACGTTGACATGTCCTCCTTGAAGATGTGTGTTCTGGATAATCACGCGGAATATTGTCTTTGCCAAACGGAGCGTGCTCAAAGTATTTCTCCAAATATGGGTCTTAATGGGGTGCGCCAATGCGTACAGGAAATATTGTTGGATGTTATTGCGGTAACATAAACATTACAAAAGGAAATCAACTTTGAAATTGTGTACACTTGAACAGGCATTTATTTTCAGCCGGTTAGCTCCTAATTAGCACTAAATGGCTAATCAAATGCCCTTTATGAATATTAATACGCAGGTAAATGTTTTTGTCGCTAAGCTAATTGGGTTGTGCTTGGGCTTTAAAGTGTATTAGCACAGCATAATGTTGCATGAAGGTTAAATCTACGAATTTGACTTTTTTTTTTTCAACGTAGCCTGATACAAGACCATAGACTGGATAAAGAAGTGGACTAAGGGAGTGTGACGTCACCCACAGCGTTCAGCTCCAGTCAAATGAAGCTCATTGAGGCTGCAGTTATACGAGTGAATTTGGAGGCAGTTCTATATTAGACTAGGAATTTATTTATGGACAAAATAGCAAAATAAAAACACCAGGATCATGTAGAGCAAATGCAGCTCGCAAGCTTTAATTGGTGGCTCACAAGCTTATACCAAAAATAGTAACACAGCCAATATATTTTTTTCAAATGTTCTAGATAAACATATAGTGAACATTGCAACACAAACATCTGCATTACACCAAGTATAAATCAAGGCTTAATTAATGGTGTTTCCTAAAGGCGGCACCGTGACACCAGCAACCAGTGATGCTCCGTGTCCATGTATAAACGACCCGTACCCGACCGACGTTTTCAACTAACCCACCCGCAACTCTGACTGCAAAAAAAAAAATTGAAAATATTGTACCTGAACTGCATTTTAAAAAGTAAGATCATCAGTAGCATCATCTAAATAAAGTGAATGAAATGATCTTCACTCGTCTGATCTCTGAAAGCATGAACCATCTCCAACGCGACACACACACACACACACAGAACAGACTCACCATCATCATCACATCCTCAGCCACAGGAGGAACACTCATATTCCACTGAGTCGTGACCTTTAGTCTGACAGAAGCTAAAGCATCAGCGCACAAGGAAAGAGCTGTTTTTATCAGTGCTTACAGTTTATGCAAATGAGCCATGCAGTTTAAAGCTTTGTTTCTGTAAAATGTAAACAAATGTGTCAAAGCTGCATTAAACACATTATAATCTCAAACGGGCTGATGTGGCTTAATAGTGCTTATGGTTTATATGTTGTAAAGTTGAGTTTATTTATGCAGATTAGTAATAGTAATAATGCATGACAGCTTCTGTTCATCCCAATATTAAGGTAAATATGGTTTTAACTGAAAATGTCTTGGCTGTGTTTCTTTTTTGTGGGATCTCCAATTTATATGTAGAAATGCTCGTTTGCAAAGGTGACTTGGTATGTTGGCGTATGTTGGGTATAAGTGGCTCTCCTCTTGATTTTGTTCTTCCAATATGGCTCTTGTGAAAAAAAAAAAAAAGAGTATCATGGAGTTATAGAGAGAGGGGAGACAATGTACAGTCAATTGGAGCCAGAGTCGATGGAGCCAGAAGCGCCACCATAATAACTTCCTATTCGTAACGTGGCAGCTTGTGGGTTAGCTATGTCGATTTCTATATGCAGTCTATGTGCAAGTACACTTTATGGGCGATTTATTTGGGAAAAAAGTATTGTAGATTATCGTTTTGTCTTGTTTGTTGAGGGTTTTTTTTTTTTTTTTTGAACCTCCTGAAAATTGACTGTGTAAACAATGGTGGCCACTGTAGTTGATTTAGTATTTGACATGTAAAGGACAGGCTGTCGTTGGGCAAAACACTTCACCCACCTAGTATGGCTATAATGACATGTACTGGCTTTCCAACCACTGAACCAGTGCCGTCGTGTTATGGATAGCAATTCAATTTTAAACATGCATTTGGTCACCTTGGGACCATTTTCCAACTTAAATAATGTCTTCATATGGAAAATACACCTCCGTTTCCAGTGAGACATTTAGGCTCTGAAGCTTCCCTTGCTATCAGCAATGGGAATGAACATTTAGAAACTAAACAACTGAAGAACCATGTGTTTAGTGTTTACACAGTTTGATCGCAGAATGAGTCAGGTGATGATTTATAGGCTTGAAAAATGCATAGATGTCTAAAGTTTTATCTATGACACAACAAAATTGGCATTATTTGAATGGTGGATTTTTGCACGGTCAGAGAAGACGACTCTGGATTTTGTGGATTAATGAAACAAAATACAACTCCAAGTATGTTTTTGATGAGTGGAAAACATTATTAAAAATAATAAAAGCTTAAAAATTCATAATGTTGTTTAAGTTTTAATCTCACAGTGTGTCAAATACTGGCACATGCCCAGGGACAACATGGGGGAAAAAGTTTACTTCTACACTGCTCCAAACTAAAAATACAATGCTGTATTGATTGGTGGATATTGTTTTGTCCAGAGGCAGTTGCTGAGCTGTATCCGAGGAGGGAACTGTCCCGGCCCAAACGTCAGCTCTCTGCAGATGCCCGGAGACTCCAGCTTCTTCTCCAACCTGCTGGCGGTGCCCACGCTGGAGTTCTCCTTCCAGCAAACTGTCGCCGACCAGGTACAGCACAAACAAATACACGTTTGTTTGTTTGGATTCACATTAGCTGTCATCGAATAGACAGCTTTCTCTTAGGGGTCCTATTAAAAAATACTAATGGAAAAGAAATTACGTTTCAAGTAGTAGTTTTTTATTTAGTCATTTTGCAGCACTATAAAACGAAACAAAACAAAACATAGATCATGACCGAAAGGGTTTAGGCTGAGGTAAAAAGAACTTATAATGCCAAACCCTTTTAAACAATGACTGAATTTCAAGAAAGAAAAGCTGAGTATGAACAGCAAGTTTGCATTTACAATTTAACTTACGACTTTCTGTATATATGAGACAAAATATAAATTAAAACAATCTAAATGTAATGCATAATTCATTCATTCCAGAGCTCTATATTTTTCAGAACATAATGCTTTATACATTTGTTTTAAAGGCTTCTACAGTGTTAGACTTTTTTTTTAAAAACATCACTCAGGTTGTTTCATATACTAACCCCTCTAACAGAAATACAGTCACTTTAAAAAAAAAATTTTTTTTTTTTTAGTTCTTGTCTTCTTTTTTTTTTAAGATGCCAGTTCTGTTTTTGTGTATGGTCTTTCAAACTAATAATAATGATAAAGAAGGCACAAAATATATAATTTAGAAAGAAAGGCATCATATGAACAGCAAGTTTTCATTTACAGTTTCACTTATGACTTGTATAAGAGAGAAAATATAAATTAAAACAAACAAAATTTAATGGATAATTCATTCATTCCAGAGCTCTATATCTTTCAAAACATAATGCTTTATACAATTTTTTTTTAAAGGCTTCTGCAGTGTTTCACTTTTTTAAAATTGTCACTCAGACTGTTTCAAATACTAACCCCTCTAAAAGAAATACAGTCTTTTTTTTTTTTTTTTAATCTTCATTTTTAAAAAGATGCCAGTTTTGTTTTCGTTTATGGTCGAACAAACTAATAATAAAGGCACAAAATGTGTTGTTTATGATCAAAATAAAAGGTAATATTATAGAAAAGCATGTGTTTAGTTAATAGTCATGTGGTTTACCTGTAAAGACAATATATGTCTACTTAAAGTCTCCATTAGAATGTTTTTTTTTTTTTTTTTTTACTTCATTATCAAGTATCAAGAGACCAGTGACTACAGTGTTACAGAAATAGGACAGTGGAGGAGAGTCACACCAACACTGCCAGCAAAATTACATTAATAAACCATTGGTGCATTCGGTCAAAGATTTTTTTTTTTTTCCGCATTACTTCCTCAGTACTACCAGCAATGTGCACTGTGTTGGGCTAGGATAAATCTTACAAAGCAAATTTTTAGGAGGATTTTTAAAAATGAACTTCATGTTGAGAAAACAGAGAAGAATCCCTTAAAAATCTGACCTTTGTGAAAACTGTTGGTGCTGTTGTTGTTGTTGGTGGTGAAAATTGTTGGTGGTAGGTTGGTGAGTTTATTTTCACAAAAATCGAACCCAAGACTCAGACAGAATGTGGTGGAGGAACCTCATTGCTCTGGACTCTTTCGCTGGGAGTCTGTTTTTGCCAGAGCCAGCCACAGACCTTTCCCTTAATGAATGGTTAATTATCACATGAACACTTCAGCTTCAAAGAGTTAAACCTTCAAAAAGAGTTAACCTGCTGCTTAGAATGAGGTCAAAGTAAGAAATGACTTCGCTCTCAAAAGTTAAAAGTCCTGTCATGAGTAATTTCCATGTCCAAAAATGACAAAGAGCAGCTGATGAAAAATTACACCAGAGTCTGTCCTTTTCTGTGCAGCTGGACAGGTCCACGGACATCGAGAATCTGTGCTTTCTTAGACATCTCCATGATAATATGAGAAAAACTCCACATGAAACGACAAGAACTTTCTTTGGATTTTCCCTCCACTCATTCCAAAACCACACATCACCAAATAGTATACCAGTATATTCACTCAATGTCCATGCTACAACGACCCCTGAGAGTAGCATAAAACTTTCAATATTATATTCTATTTCTCTCTGGCATTATACGGTGTTTCACAGTTTGTTATCGTGACAGGTCTAGTGGTGCGGTGAGCTTCAGATCAGTTGACAGCAGTGTGAGCTTTGTGATTTTCCGTTCCATTCTTCCGTCAGACTCGTGTGTAAGGAATCATGTTAGTGCTGAAAATATATTGATTGACAGATGTTTTTTTTATTTCAAGCTTGTGACAGAAATTTGGGCCTTTTGTTTTCAATGTTCACAATAATACATCGGTCTTGTTCACGAGTGAGGGGAGGATGGAACGTGAGATTGGCAGGTGGATCGGAACAGCGTCGGTAGGGATGCGGTCGCTGTATTGGATCATTGTGGTGAAGAGGGAGTTGAGACGAAAGGCAAAGTTCTCGTATTACTGGTCAATCTTTGTTCCTACCATCACCTATGGACATGAGCTCTGGGTAATGACCGAAAGGACGAGACTGCAGATACAAGCGGTTGAAATGAGTTTCCTCCACAGGGTGGCTGGGCTCTCCTTTAGAGATAGGGTGAGGAGCTCAGTCACACGGGAGGAGCTCAGAGTAGAGCCGCTGCTCCTCCATGTCGAGAGGAGCCAGCTGAGGTGGCTCGGGCATCTGTTCCGGATGTCTCCTGGACGCCTCCTTGGAGAGGTGTTCCGGGCATGTCCCACTGGGAGGAGGCTCCAGGGAAGACCCAGGACACGCTGGAGGGACTATGTCTCTTGGCTGACCTGGGAGCACCTCAGCATCCCCCCGGAAGAGCTGGATTTAGCGCGTGTGGAGAGGAAAGTCTGGGAGTCCCTGCTGCCGCGACCTGGCCCCGGATAAAGCGGAAGAAAATGGGTGGATGAATGGACTGATACTGTTTTTTAATACACTTTTTTTGGACACTCAAAGACACTTTACAAATAGGAAGCAACATTGTAGAAAACAGGAGGAATCATGAGGGGAATACCAGATAGGTAAACAGGTGAGTTTTTAGTAGTGCTTTGAAGTTCTGCAGTGAGTCTCTGAGTTCCTGATGGATTGTGGCAGTGAGTTCCAGAGGGAGGGGGGTGACGGCAGCAAAGGCCTGGTCCCCTAACGTCTAGTGTTTCAAGTAGTGACACATCAAGAATCCAAGTATACTATAGTTACATGACATGACAAAAACTGAAAACCTACATTTTTAACACTACAACAGTCAACATAGCTTGAAAGGGAGTGTGGCATATCTGTTTTCATGTGCGTCGCGACATTTTTATTTTCATATATAGATTTTAGCATGCCATAACCACCCCTAATATTCACACAATTTCGAATCATGAATCATTGTAATATTTGCGAAAATTAGCCCTGTGTGGTGACCATTTAAAAAGAATGACAACTTCAAAATCCGACCGCTGATTTGGGTTGAGGGACCTTTGATTAGGCTACTTCACAAATCAGTGATGGGCTCCTAATTTTTTTTTTCCCTAAATGATTTGTAGAAATTATTGTGGGAAAAAAAAAAAAGGAACGATTGACTTTGCTTGACATTGCCAATCTTTTTCTAATTACAACAATTCCTCACATATGCCATGGAATGAAGAGACATACCATGGTGCAGGGGACATACATTTGCAAAATACAACTGAAGCTCTTTCTAACATTAGATGATTGCAGATTTGTTTAATAAAGCATCAACAAAGAATGAATTCCTAATGAACAGATACTATATTTCGAGCTCTAACTGTTTAATTAAGGGGTACTAAGCCTGAATCATTCTTAAAGGCGTCAAACCTGATTTTTACTTCTTAATTTTTTATGTTATTAGGTTCTCTAGAGTTTGTTTTCATACCTGACAGTTTCGACTGCTCACTAGCGCTCTTGTAGTGGTCACGTGATGTTGCTGTGACGTGTCTGGTCAGCTGATTTATACAGGTTTTGGCGTGTCTCCCTATCGGTGGAGGAAGGACGACAGCGACATCTGCAGTCCGACTTCCTCAGGACAGTAGGTGTGTGAGAGTAAAAAAGCCCCCTCGTCGCGGTTTATAGTCCCGTTGGCACGCTTCAGTTTTTTGATTGCCTCTTTAATCCAGTTGCAATGTCTGTTGTCCTCTGTCCGTCTTACTTCTTAATTTTACATCTTAAAAACACGAAAAACAGAACTTCTTCATTTTAACTGGAATGGAGTGGTTCAAAGTTATTCTTCAATTATCTTATGCATTCTGAGCATCCTAATTATTCAGAGAGGAGTTTTAAGCGCTTTTCAAAACTTTGAAATACCAGATCGGAGTTTCACCATCACTGTAATGCGAACAACAACTAGTATGCCAAACGTGTACTTCCTGATTCTCGGAGGATAATACACTTTATAATGACATTCATAAAAGGCACATATTACTGTACTGTCTGATCTGTTATAATGTTGTTTCCTAATCAAGAACATACCACAAGTTATGTTTGTTTTATTCACACGTGTTTACCACAAAAACCCTGCATATCTCGTGAAAACACTCTGTTCCACTCTGTGATGTCATTAATACAGGTGTTCCACTGTGTTTTTAAACTCCGTACACCTTCTCTAGTATTATTTAGATGATTTCACCCTTGGAATTGCCAATCTCTACTGAACTAAAGGTAAAAGGCTGCTGATAACTTCATCGCGTCATGACATCACAAGGTGGAACAGAGCATTTTGAGCTTTGGAGATGTAGACAGACTAATAATAAAGGGTTACTCAAACACGTGAATGAAATAACTGGACTCCAGGTATGTTTTTAGGAGGTAACAATATTCTAACGTGGTTTAAAGGGATCTGTCACTTTCTTATTTCTTTGGATATATCATTGCTCTGCCTGGAATGTTCCACAGTGTGACATTAACCGGCTTTAACTTACATTTATTCAATTACAGGTGGTTTTACAGCTCAAAAATACCTAGAAAAACAGGTATTTTGACTGTGAGCGGGGTTCCCTCTACACAGATTTGACCTGTAACTTAGTCTGGTTTGGTCTCCATGGTGACAGAAATAATGCCATTAATGCCGTACTGTGAAACA